TGGTATATTGTATGTGTTGTGCTTTTATCTTCTTTTTATTTTTTATTTTTCACAAGATTTTATTTATTTATTTGTTTAGAGCATGCTCACGAGCCAGCGAGGGGGGATGGGGCAGAGGAAGAAGGAGAGAGAATCTTAAGCAGGCTCCACACCCAGCATGGCGCCTGAGGCAGGGCTTGAACCCACGACCCTGAGATCGTGACCTAAGCTCAAATCAATAGTGGGATGCTAGGGGTGCCTGGATGGCTCAGTGGATTAAGCCTTTGTCTTTGGCTCAGGTCATGTCTCAGGGTCCTGGGATCAAGCCCTGTGTCAGCTCTCTGCTCAGCAGGGAGCCTGCTTCCCTCTCTCTGCCTGCCTCTCTGCCTACTTGTGATCTCTCTCTGTCAAATAAATAAAATCTTAAAAAATATGTATATAGAAAATAGCCAGACACTTAACCAACTGAGCCACCCAGGCGCCCCAAGATTTTATTTTTAAGTAACCTCTACACCCAGCACGGGACTTGAACTTACAATCTGGAGATCAAGAGACTCCAGCTCCACTGACTCAGCCAGCCAGGCACCCCATGCACGCATGTGTTTGTCATACTTTTAAGGTAATGGGAGGTTTGTGCAGAGGGAGTGTGTAACTTGGCTGTAAGGAAAAACAGGTTAGGAGACCAAACAGGAGGTGGCGGGGTGGGGGTGGGGGGTGGGGAGGGCTGACTTTGAGAAGCACTTCTTTTTTTTTTCCCCTGAAGTGGGATTCTTTATTGGAACTTAATGTTTACATTGACAGATTGCTGGACCCAAATGTTTATAAGTTTTTTTTTTCAGTGTTCCAAAATTCATTTTTTATGCACCACACCCAGTGCTCCATGCAATATGTGCCCCCCATAATACCCACCACCAGGCTCACCCAAGCCCCCCACTCCCCCTTCAAATCCCTCAGTTTGTCTCTCAGAGTCCACAGTCTCTCAAGGTTTGTCCCCCCCTCCGAATTTCCCCAAGTCACTTGAGAAGCATTTCTGAAAGAGAAGAGATAATATGTGGTAAACACTGGATGTGGAGGCTGAGGAGGAGGCAGAAATAGAGTGTGACTTTGAAGTTGCTCAATACAAGGGAGACTGGGTGGCTGGTGGTACTGTTGACTGAGGTCAATTCAGAACAGGATGGGTTCTTGACTGCGGTGTGCTCCTGGCTTAAGAATCAACACTGACAGCACCACAGGTGGTCAGTGCCCAAACAAGAAGACAGGATGTCAGCGGCCAACAAAGTGCATGAAGCCTACCCCAGAATGAGACCACTGATCTTAATTGCCAGGCTTTGTGCTAAAAGTAAAACCTAACTTAAAAGTTCTTTAAGGGGAACCTGGGTGGCTCAGTCAGCTAAGTGTCCAACTCTTGGTTTCAGCTCAGGTTATGGTCTCACGGGTTGTGGGCTTAGGATTCTCCTTTTGTCCCTTTCCTTGCTTGTGGGCATACTCTCTCTCTCAAAATAAATAAATATTTTTTTAAAAGTCTCTTTAAGTAGTTCTGAACAGTTCAGTTCAACACCATTTAAAAGCTGTTTTTCTAGGGGCACCTGGGTGGCTCAGTGAGTTAAGCTTCTGCCTTTGGCTCAGGTCATGATCTCAGGGTCCTGGGATGGAGCCCCGCATCGGGCTCTCTGCTCAGCAGGGAATCTGCTTCCCCCTCTCTCTCTGCCTCTCTGCCTACTTGTGGTCTCCGTCTGTCAAATAAATAAATAAAATCTTAAAAAAAAAAAAAAAAGGCTGTTTCCTAAAATGTGTCTCGTTTATTGCAAACCTCTTTTTTGGTTACACTGTGTATGATTTCCAGTTAAAAGAATGTAAAGTGAGAATGCTAGAGCCGGATTACCTGGGCAGGTGACCCTAGGCAAGACTTCAACCTCTTGTGCTTCAGTTTCCTTGCTTGCAAAATAAGTTCTTCATGAGGCTGTTACAGAAACAAGTTCATAAATGTAGAAATGTGCCTGGCACATTGTCAAGTACGTTATAAGTATTTGCTATCATTATTAATAAGTAATGGAATTCTCAAACAAGATTTTAAGTGGACTGTTCCAGAGCTGGTGCTGTTGCTTGATAACCAAGTTATGAAGGACCAGTCTCTTCCCATATAGCACTTTGCCATACTCAGCTTGTTAGTGATGTCTCCCTTCATGGTGGCAGAAAAGCTGAAATTGCTCCAAGTATCAAGCCCTTACACAACTGGCATTCCAAGTAGGAAAGGAGGGTTGGAAGGAAAAAGGACTTTTTTCTTTGTGCCGCCCTCACTTATTAAGGAGAAGAATTTTTCCTAGAAGCCCCTAGTAGGTTTCCTTTCAGCTAGAACTGGGCCATAGGCCCATGCCTAACTTCAAGAGGGGCTGGGAAAAACTCTGACACTTCTAACCTACAACAAACGAGGCAAAAGTGAAACTGGGGCCGGTTGTTGTATGGATAACTGTAGTGCCTACCATAGCCTTTGAAGTAGTTTCAAGGATGCCTCACTCAGGCAGGAGGTTCTTGAGAAATAAGAGTGTAGAAGTCTTTATTCAGAGCGAGTCAGCCATAGGCTTCACCCTTCAGAGGTCATTAGCTGTTTTAAGAATAGCTTTTGAGGCATAATATTCCATTGTATGTATGGACCACATCTTCTTTATCCATTCGTCTGTTGAAGGGCATCTTAGCTCTTTCCATAGTTTGGTGACTGTGGCCATTGCTGCTATAAACATTGGGGTACAGATGGCCCTTTCTTTTCACTCCATCTGTATCTTTGGGGCTAAATAAGTATCCAGTAGTGCAATTGCAGGGTCATAGGGAAGCTCTATTTTTAATTTCTTAAGGAGTCTCCACACTGTTTTCCAAAGTGGCTGCACCAACTTGCATTCCCACCAACAGTGTAAGAGGGTTCCCCTTTCTCCACATCCTCTATGGTCCATATATACAATGGAGTATTATGCCCCCATCAGAAAGGATGAATACCCAACTTTTGTATCAACATGGATAAAAGGGGACTGGAGTAGATTATGCTGAGTGAAATAAGTCAAGCAGAGAGGGTCAATTATCATATGGTCTCACTTACCTGTGGAACATAAGGAATAACACGGAGGACATTGGGAGTTGGAGAGGAGAAGTGAGTTGGGGGAAATTGGAGGGGGAGACAAACCATGAGAGACTGTGGACTCTGAGAAACAAACTGAGGGTTTTGGAGGGGAGTGGGGTGTGGGTTGTATGAGCCTGGTGGTGGGTATTATGGAGGGCACATATTGCATAGAGCACTGGGTGTGGTGCATAAACAATGAATCTTGAAACACTGAAAAAATAAAGTTTAAATAAATTTAAAAAAAAAGAATAGCTTTTGAACCCAGGAAAAGTCCTGTTGGTAAAATATGGAGAGGATATTTTTAAGCAGGGCTTCCTTTCTAATATTCTGGTTCCTTCTTAGCTGTCACCTTCCTTTCCCACAAACCAAAGGAGGGGGCTCATAATTCAGTTCACCTTGTCTAAAAGGTTGACCAAGCTAGGCACTGTTAAAGTTACTTGTAAGAAAGCATAGGCAGGCTCCCTTCACTGACCCAGCAGCAGGGGGTTATAAGCAGGGAGAGCTGCATGAGAAGAGCTACCCTTTCCTCCTTAGATGCATGTCTTAAATCCAGCTGTTCCCCCACAACGCACATCCCAGACTCCCTCCCAGAGTCGGGTCCCGAAGCACCTCTCATCTGGGCTTCTGCTCAAGTCTCTCCCTTGCCAGAAAGAATTCAGTGCAAAAAGGTAGACAGAGAGCTATGAAAGAGCCAGAAGAAAATGTTTCTAAACACCCACAGAAAGCCAGATTCCCACTAACCAATTCAGTTAACAAAGAGAGGAGACATTTTAAAATTCCAAGGCATTTAGTTACTAATCTGATTCTGGCCTACATGTGGATATTCAATAAATACTTGTTAAATTGACTCAAAGTTTTATTTATTCAACCTACTTAAAGCTTATGTAAACCCCTTGGAGATTTGTGTCAAGCTGTTAAGTTGGAAAATATATGAAAAGTAGAATTTTCCCTAGACCGGCTTTCCTGTTAATGAGCTTTATGAGCTTAGTGTAAACTGGTGTGTGTGTGTGTGTGTGTGTGTGTGTGTGTGTGTGTGTGTGTGTGCCCCGCAGAAGGAGGAGGTAAGGAGGAAACAGGAGAAAAGCCTGTTTCTATCATTTCCTACGTTTGTCTTCATTGCTGTACTTACTAACCAGCTTCTGCCCTCTAGTGCTCACTGTGTTAAGTTCCCTTCTGAATTCCATTTTCATCTAAAAATCCAGGACTCCAGGAAGGGACAATCTCTTGTTTTGCAGATGAGCAAACTGAAGTCCAGAGACTGAGGTGTCCAACTGACCCAGGTGGTTTCCTGGATTCTTAGGTACCTAACTGTACCTCATCCGGCAAACCCTTTTTATTAAATGCCGTGCCTCAGACATTTCAATAACTAATCAATAAAAATTACAGCATACTTGTCATACACCAGAAACTAATATAACACTGTGTGTTAACTCCACTGGAGTTACAAATAAATAAATGTTTAAGATGCACATAAAAATTACAGCAGCGTAATCATTTAACGATAATGTTAAGTGTTATCTGTTATTTTCTATGTTATTCCAAATAAAGCCAAAATTGACTGTTGGTGAAATTTTGATAAGGATTTCTAAATATTGTTGCTATGTTTTAAACTTGGTGAAGTTTAGAAAATTCCTGTATTACTTTTGGGGGCAGGGGGGCAGGATATTTAACCAGAATGGACCCAAAGTAGACTTGGCTATTTATCAGAATGGACTTATCACTGTCTCCACATAGGCTAATCTTCTGCTAGAATTCTCCCAAAGGAACCTCTTTGCTCACTGATGGGAAAAGGTGGGGGGGGGGGGAGTTTGCCATTTTAACTTAGAACACATATTTTCATCATTTAATCATTTTGCTGGTGGGAATAAACAAAGTTATCCAGCTGGATGCGTCACTTACAAGAACATTACTGAGTAACAAAAGATTTATTCAAATATTTAATTGGAAGGAAATACATCTGGAATAACTTTTATTGGACTTCATATAAAAAGGAAAGTAAATCCATTAGAATTAATATCATAAACAGTTGGCTTTATCTGGAACCAGAAATGTTAATGAACTGGAGCCCAAAAGTCCTAACCACTTTTCCTTGCAAAAAGCCAGTCATTTTTTAATTTATATGCCAATTACACTTTATTACTTTAGGTTGAGCTTTGTTTTCAGCAAATATTTTAGAGCTAAGTCACTCAAATTACCTAATTAGTTTCCTTTCTCCTCTTGTCTTCAAACACCAAGCAAAAAGAAAGTTGTAGGGGGCATCTACCTTCTTCATGGTGCTTCAGAAATCCTGCTACGACCGGTGAGTCAGCAGGGAGTCACTGGGTTGGGGCTACTAGTAACTATGTGAATTAAGAGACATCTAGTTTCCTTCTTAGATGTCAACATAGATCCCATTGATCAAATAATCCAGTCTTGAATAACGTCTCCTGCGGAGGGATTCTGAGAACATTCTACCCAAAAGGACAAGGCCTATGGCTAGGAACAGAACCCCAAAGAGCAGGGTTCCGATGAGGAGCCATTTTTCAAATGGAAGGCCATGTTGACTTTCTGGAACACTGTTCAGGGAGGAACCATCGGGTCTGGCCTTCTCATTTTCCTGGGAAGCAGTTTTATTTGGAGCAGAAGAAACCACATCTGACAAAAGCAGCATAGCTGCAGATGAATCCACCGTTGACAAAGAAAGTGTAATGGGGTTACTCTGGGCATCCTCTGTGTTTGAAGTGAAGCTGGAAATTTCTCGAAAGGGCACCATTTCTGCGGGGCTTTTCCAGTCTATGGGCGCCTCAGAGATGGCATTTGAAACGGCTGCTGTAGTTATGCTAGCTTTGGGTATAACCACAGCATGGGTCAAAATGGTAGACAAGAGGGTTGTGGGGGGCTGCGACTTGCCCGGGGCTAGGGCTGGAGCTGAGGTGGCCATCTCTGGTTCAGAAGTCACAGAAGGTATCACAGGAGCATTGGTGGTGGGGGGCAATGCAGGCTTTGCGGGGGTAGAGGTGATACGCTGAGAAGCAACGGTCATCATCGTAGGGAGCGTTGTCACAGGTAGGAGACGAGCTATTTTTTGCTCTGAGGAAAACTGTGAACTCTGTGAATGGCCTTTTTCTTTATAAACAGGGAACGGTGTACTTGCTTGACCGATCTTGAATAGTTTCTCTGAGTGATCTGAGGATCCAAACTTCTGAGAAAATGCATCTCTCCAGAAGCTATCGGTGGGCTTTGAATACTCTGTCACAGGAGTGGGGGTGGGAGTGATTCCCTGTGAAGACTGGCCATGGATAAAAGAATCTTCTTGGGTTAACTCTGGGCTTGGCGAGTTTGTTCTGGCCGAAGTTGGAAAATCTGAAAAATGTAAAGAAAATAAAAGGAGACTTAAATATTTCCATGCTAAGGCAGGTTAAAAAAAGACAAACATATCAGCTTGTTCAGTAAATCCCCAAACTGTTGAAACTTGACATTTCGTAGAAACTTGCGCAAAATGGAAAAATACAAATTGCTAAATCCGAATCTGGTGACACTGCCTCTCTACCAGATGCTGTGGTTTATTTCTAGAGCGATGGGACAGAGGAGAAATGTGTGGAGGAGGACCAGGCAAATTAGGGAAGAGGTGGGAGGAACAGAACAAAGGAGCTAAGAGGAGCTCGGGAGGTTTAGGAAAGTGGGGACACATGGGGGGCTGAGGCCAGGGAAGAGAGCTGGGCCAGGGTGACACCGCAGGAACTGGCAGAGAGAAGGCTCCCTGGGAAACCAGCAATCACCAAGGAGAGACTTCACAGCAAGGGCGGCCCACAGATAAGAACAGTAATAGAGTCCTGGGGCAAAGAGGAGCAGAGGCAGAACCCGGGACATTTGCCTGACACAGGGAGGATTCCTGTGGGCCGGGAGGGATGGTCTGGTCTCCTCCCAGGGCAGAGAGGCCAAGGCAGCAGCAGAAGGCTGATGACATTTTCCAATTAAAAAAAAAAAAAAAATAGGTTTTGGCACCACACTCGGGGGAGGAAGGCTATCTGGGAGATTTAATTTTGACTCTCAGAGATTAACATTTCAGAGCCAATGTCTTAAATCGGAGGACAACGGAACCAATATTTGAAATTACGATGGCCACAGTGCTGCGAAAAAGAGCAGAAAATCACACAGTTCTGAGGGCTGCTGGGGAGGAACCAGCCTCACAACCTCCTCAGGGGTAAGAGAAATTTTAGAACTGTGCTCTTAGTCTCACAAGCCATTCACACAGCTCAACCTGGAAAGGCTTTTTGGAGCCATTGGGGCAGGGGAATGATCATTTGAATTTCTCTGTGTCACTCTGCTACTTGGCCGGTCATTTCACTTAGATTTGAACTGCAGCAAACACAAGGAAGGAAGAAAAGGAATTTCTTAGCATTCATCAGTTCATTCTTCCCTGTTCGCTTTCCCCTTTTCTTCTTCAATTCCTCCCAATGCTGGTTTCTGAACCAGACCCCACTCTCCTCTCTGCTAACAACCAGATCCAGAGGTGACTTGAGATTTATAATATCTTTGACTGGTCTGTAAGCTTCACACTCCAAAGAGGTCCTTCAAAACTGTCACTTGCCAGGGCACCTGGGTGTCTCAGTTGGTTCAGCGGCTGACTTTTGACTTTGGCTCAGGTTATGATCTCAGGGTCGTGAGATAGAGCCCAACATCAGGCTCTGTGTGGAGACTGCCTGAAATTCTCTTTCCCTCTCCCTTTGCCCCTCCCCCTGCCTGCCCACATAAGCATAAATAAATAAAATCTTAAAAAAGAACTGTCACTTACTTGTCCATCTAGGACAGGGGTCAGCAAATTATGACCCGAGGGCCAAATCTGGCTTGCCATTTTTCTTTGTATGGCTTATGAGCTAAGATCTACATTTTTATTTTTTATTTTTTTATTTTATTTTTTTTTAAAGATTTTTTTTTATTTATTCATTTGACAGATAGAGATCACAAGTAGGTAGAGAGACAGGCAGAGAGAGAGGAGGAAGCAGGCTCCCTGCTGAGCAGAGAGCCCCATGCAGGGCTCGATCCCAGGACCCTGGGATCATGACCCGAGCCGAAGGCAGAGGCTTTAACCCACTGAGCCACCCAGGCGCCCCAAGATCTACATTTTTAAACACTTGACAAAAATCAAACAGGATACTATTTTGTGACACATGACAATTACATAAAATTCAAATCTCAGTGTCGCAAATAAAGTTTTATTGGCATGTAACAGTGCTCATTAGTTTATACATTGGCTGTGGGTACTTCGTACTACAAAGACAGAGGTGAGTAACAACAGATTGTATATGGCCCATAAATCCTAAAACACTGGCCTGGGAAGCCTACAGTACTTATCCTTTTGCCCTCAAAAGACGACGTTTGTGGACACCTGCTCTAGGTTATAGTACTTCACTCCAAAATAGAATTTGGAGGATTGAAATGCCTCTTTCCTCAGACAACGCTGAAGGAAAGAGTTTCTGCTGCAGGATATACCACATTGACAGACACAACAACACCATGAGAGAAACTGCATCTATATTTTTAGGTAGTATCAGATATTTTTTAAAAAAGAACAGGACTCAACGTTCATTTCTTTTTAATTTTTTAAAAAGATTTTACTTATTTATTTATTTGAGAGAAAGAGAGAGCACAAGCAGAGGGAGCAGCACAGGGAGAGGGAGAAGCAGATAGCAGGAAGCCCAACGTGGGGTTCGATCCCATGGTCACGACCTAAGCCAAAGGCAGAGGCTTAACTGACTGAGCCACCCAGGCGCCCCAACATATCTCATTTTAAAGTTCCAAAAAAAGACTAGTTAACTCAATGCTCTGTGATATGTAGGAACTCAGAACTTAGACAAAGCCATTGACAAAAAAATGACCAAAACAGCTGCTTTCTTTCTCAAGAGTGCAAGCCCATAAAGAAAGCAGGGCTAGGGCTAGTCCCATTTCTTGATAAGATTCATCTATTGGCAAAGATCCTAGAACCACCCAGAGATCCTCAACACCTGCTCCGTTTACCTCACCCATGATGTTTGCCATCGGGGTGTAGTGCTCTTTCTCACTCATGCAGAGATGAGCCAGAGGCGACTGAGAAACAGCCCTGGGCCCTCAATCCCTCTTCTGAGTTTCACTCTCAAGGGACTTTACGAACTAAAAAACTTAGGAACTGACTATTCCTTGGAAACCAGCTGAGCAAACAAACTCCCAATTTATTCTCTCTCTGAATTCCCCCCTTCTAGTCCTTGGTAAATGGGACATACCACGAAGCTGAAAGAAAATTGAATAATGCCAAGTTGCGATGGTTTTATAGAATGAACAGAGTACGCTGTCATCTTTCAAACTTTTGGTCTTTAAATATTAGCCAATCAATTATAGGAAATGGAGTTCATCAGGAAACAAACCACCAAACAGCTATCTACTTAATTTCACTCTAAACAGGAAGCAGATAGTTTATTTTTATGGGGAATCTTATTCCATCAACATGGGCAGATTCATAAATAGAATTACAAGCTTAATTTGTAAACATCCTGTAGATTAAAAAGTCAACGACACTCTAATGTCCAAGGTTGGTGCCACTTTGCTCTGAGATATCAATCAACCTGCTCTGGGCTGGTGTTCGCCCCCTGGTGGCTTCCACAGGCACTGTTTGATTCTAATTCCAATTTATTACCTTCATACTCTCCCTGAAAAGGTTTATACTCATGCCAAGTTCCCTTTTCTCCCATTTCCACTGGAGAGAATCTTTACCACACACTCCCTTTTACCATGCATTACAAAAGCAACAATATTACAGAGTATTATGAAAATTATAAAACAAATTCAACTATAATTTTTGTCATTATGTCCCAACGACTATTAACATTTCTGTATATCTTAAAGTTAAATTTTTTTTCATGATTTTATCTGAAATTGTGTTTATTTACATACCTTAAACTTATTTTTTTTTTAATTTTACTTATTTATTTGACAAAGAGAGAACACAAGCAGGGGGAACATTAGAGGGAGAGGGAGAAGCAGGCTCTCCACTAAATAGGAAGCCCGGCGTGGGCTCGATCCCAGGATGCTGGGATCATGACCTGAGCCGAAGGCAGATGCTTAACCAACTGAGCCACACAGGCATCCCCTTCAAACTTGTTTTTTAATATCTGCCATCACATTCTTTCAAGTAGATCCGTCATATTTTACACCCAACAATTCTCTGGCAATTGGATATGTATGTTGCTTCTATTTTTCACTCTTTAATTATATAATAAACAGCTTCAAATCAATAGCTTTTTCTTGTTTTGTTGTTGTGTCTTTAGATTATCTGGAAGTTGAATTACTGGAGTAAATTACCTATAATTTCTTTAACACTATGCTTTAGGGGTGCCTAGGTGGCTCAGTGGGTTCAAGCCTCTGCCTTCCGCTTGGGTCATGATCCCAACGTCCTGGGATCAAGCCCCACTTCAGGCTCTCTGCTCAGCAGGGAGCCTGCTTTCCTCTCTCTCTCTCTGCCTACTTGTGATCTCTGTCTGTCAAATAAATGAATAAAGTCTTAAAAGAAAAAAACCCGCTGTGCTTTAATGACAAAATAGGAGACAGACATAGGGAAACACACAGATAATGGAAGAAGGAACAGAATGAAGAGGTAGTGAGAAGGGATAAGAGAGGCAGAACATTATGGTCCAGCTTCCATATGATGGGAGTTCCAGAAGGAGAAGAACAAATGTTCCAATTAGTGTCTTGAGCCCCGAACTCTTTGAAAAATAAGACTGGGATATCCATCTCTGGCTTAATACCACTCCTGATTGTCTAATGCAATGGTCCAGGTGACCAAAGGGAACAGCAAGAAGTATCACCACCACCCCATAAGCCCCAGCTTTTTAGCCAAGGATATATATATATATATATATATATATATATATATATATATATATATAGGCACGAAGTGAGGGAACCATACACATCAGGGACAGCCACTCTGGGAAGGGGGCAGGACAAGACACTGTCCATGTAAAGGAAGGTCTTGAGTGTTTTGACAAGCCTCATTTGTTCTATGCCTTATGTTTTTAAAGATCATGATTTTACATTGTACATTATTTCATGTTACTGTACATACAATGTACCACTTTAACTCTTTGTAAGAATACAGCTCAGTGACACTGAGTATATTCACTTTGTCTGCAATTGTCACCCTCACCCATCTCCAGAACTTTCTTCATCTTGCAAAACTGAAACTTTGTACCTTGTGCAAAGTTTTCTTATACTTGGGTTTATATCATTAGTTAGGAAGAATTCACAAAAATAATTTGTGCTTTACATTCCTGCTTAAAGGAATGTTTGATACATCTGGCTCATTATCCAAAACTCAGACACAGGCTCACCCAGGGGACAAGGCAGAGTCTGTGCCCAGGCCCCCCTGGTAGTTCATTCCTCAAAGTACCTCACACATAATACAGTCAAGAGAGAACCTTTGAGGGGCGCCTGGGTGGCTCAGTGGGTTAAGCCTCTGCCTTCAGCTCAGCCTGCCTCCACCTCTCTCTCTCTGCCTGCCTCTCTGCCTACTTGTGATCTCTGTCTGTCAAATAAATAAATAAAATCTTTAAAAAAAAAAAAAAAGAGAGAGAGAGAGAACCTTTGAGGGGGTGCCTGGGTGGCCCAGTCCTTTAAGCAACTGACTCTTGATTTTGGTTCAGGTCATGCTCTCAGGGTCCTGAAATCGAGTCCCATGTTGGGCTCCACACTCAAAACAGAGTCTGCTTGTCTCTCTTCCTCTGCTCCTCCTCTTGTTTTCTCTCTCTCTCTCTCTCAAATAAATAAATAAAATTTTAAAAGAGAGAGAGAGAGAAAACCCTTGTTTACACTCCCCCTCCCAACCCTAAAACCAGTGTCCTCAAACCTTCCCCAGCTCAGTAGATGGTGCCAACATCCATGTAGACAGTCAAGCTAAGACTGAACTCTCATGCTTCTCTCTTTCCCATCGTCACCCCTCAACCTACACCATCAGCAAGTCCTGTCAGCTCTACCTCTGAAACGGGCACATATTTACTTCTCTTTATGTCCTCTGCCACCTCTCTGGTCCACAGTGCCATGGTCTTTCACTTGTATCTTGCCTGCCCCTCCCACCCTGTCTTCCCACTCCCCCTCTTGCTGCTTGTCCATCCCCAGTAGAACAGTCCCAGTGAGCTTGGAGATATCACCTTGAAAACATCACCCTACATTCCTGCTCAAAATTTCCCAATGGCTTCCTGTTGCAGACCTAAAATAAGAACTTCCTCCCCTGGCTTCCAAAGCTTTATGTGATCTCCCTGCTTTTCAGACTTCTTGCATATCTCTCTTTGTATGGTTCACTATGAGTCAGCCAGCTGGGACTGAAGTGTTTGTTCTTCAAACACTCCAAAACTATTCTGCCTTAGGATACTGGAATGGGCCACTTCCTCTGCCTGAAGTTCTTCCCAGATCTCACATCTGACTTCTTCCTGTTCAGATCTCAGTGGAGGGGTTACAGATGGGGTTCACAGATGCTTCCTCTGATCACCTAATCAAGACCGTCCACTCAGTGATCATCTATTACATTGTCTTTGCTCACCCGCATAGCACTTGTGACTCTATTTTTCTTGATTGCTTATTTATGATGGTTCTTGTCTCTCTCCTAAAATATAAGTGCTCAAGGTAAGGACCTTGTTTTTCCTCTTTAGTGTTATATTTTTGTGTCCTTAGAGTGGAATAAATGTTTGGCACCTGGATGATGCTAAGCAACATTTGTTGTTCATTGAGTAGATGAACAAATAGAATATTATTTACAGCCAAGGGTGTCATGACAAAAACTTTTTCTAAAACTTAAATCAAAGGAAACTTGATACTGAAAGCATCTCGTCCTGAAAAACTAACAAGCCAAAATCTCACCAAGACATATCTGAATAATTATATTATTTGTAGTTGTTTATTTTCTATATTCTAAACAATATGTTTAATATGGAGACCATATTTCCAATGCCTTGTACAGAATTTGGCCCATGGTGGCTGCTCAGTAAATACTTATTGAATGAACTTCCCTCCAGGTCTGGATAATAAAATCCAGTGTATTGGATTTCAGCCATTGTTATTATGAAATGATCGGAACTTAAAGACAAACATACTGGAATTTTGCACTCACATAGGTCTTAATTAACTCTCTGAAAACAGTCTCTCTGGGCCCTGGAGACCTTATTCCAGTGTTGTTTACATTGTTCTCAAGAGGTGTTTCAAAACGCTGTCATGAAAGGTCTGTGTGCCCTTTATCTCAGGACGGTAAAAACAAAAGCTACACAACACAAAATATTATCATTTGGAGATCTTTCATCGGAAAAAAGATGTTTGATTTAATAAACTGAACTTTAAATCATGAGAATTTTCCAGTGTGCCTATTTACGACCACTTTTGGCAGTTTCACTTAGACTCTTGTAGAAAATCTTTCACATGAACCATCCTTAAATAATTCCGATCACCAAGAGAGAGAACAATGTTATTCTTACCTCTAATTATCCTGTAACTCATAAGTCCCTTTGCTGGTTTCAGCGGACAAGCTTCCTCACTGGGACAGAAAAAAAGGTAGCAGTTGGGTTGCCTAGTTGTTTTTCGAGTGTCGAAGATCATCAAGTTACATGCTTTGTCTCCTGCAATGAAAGGCTTCCTAAGCATTATACTGAAACAGGATATTTTAAAGAGCAGGCAATGATTTATTCTGCAACCCAACACAAACACCTTCGTTCACAGTGTTCACTTGCTGGCTGACCGCTGACTCATTTCCTCTTCCTTAGCCGCATAAAGCAATTTGTAAAGACCTTGGGTTTAAACATCAGAATTAAGGTAATTCTGGCGAAACCAATTTTAAATAGTATGTTTAATTCTTTTTTTAAAAAATAGTACATTTAATTCTTTAGATAAGACTTCCATTTGCTAAAATATCCATTGAAACATCCACAGAAATACTGACTTCCCAAACTTTACACAACCCACAACTGAGTTGGGACTTAAGAAATGGATCTAACCTAATGATTTCTTGTATCTCTTGTATCCCGAAGGCAAACACCTATCTCAGACACCTCTGAAGCCCTGAGTCCAGCTTTCTTGGGTAGAATCACTAAAGTCAGCATCAATCTCTCATGCCTCCTTCCACAAAGAATCTGAGTAGCATATGAAATACAGAGTCTATTTTTTTTTTTACTTTTATCAGTATCATTCTTCTTTTGATTTTTTTTTTCTTTACATTTCTACTCTTCCTTATTTCTGCTTTTCTATTTTCCTTCCTTTCCAGCTTTTCACTCTTAGCTTTTATTTCTGGCTTCTTTTTCTCTTCTTCTGCCCAATAGAAGTTATTCTTTCTATTCATCATGGCCTAGAGTTGGCTTTGGCCTCAATCTAGTACAGTCTCACTTCTTGGCCTATGACCCCTGAGGGATCAGTATACCCCTGGTCAGGATGAAGGTTAAGAGGCATGTAGGCTAATTATTAAAAATGCATGCTCTTTCTCATCATATGCACACATGCATATGCACACACATAACCATGTGTTAACTAACCTTGTTCTGGTAATCATTTTGTAATACATACATGCATCAAATCATCACACTCTTTATCTTTAGTTGACACAATGTTACATGCCCAATATATCTCAGTAAAGCTGGGGAAAGAAACCCTGCGTAACCTAGCCATCAGCACCACATCTTCAAATCAGACAATGGTTAGGATCAACCTTGACTTCCACATTTGGAAATAAGACTCAGTGAGCTTCTGTGGGGGTCTGATCATGTCCACTCTCCATTACCCAGGCAATAAGAGATATACTTTAGCTTCTTCTTTCTCAGCAATGGGATAATTCTGTAATACCATTTTTGGGGGGCCATGTAGGTAAAGGGGAAGGTCCATAAGCCCCCCAAGTTATATGCAAAATCTTATGTCCTTTGTCCTTATGAGCATTTTTCTAGAGTCTGTGGCTACCAGCAAATTGTCAAAGTGCTTTTTTGAATCCTAAGCAGCTAAAGACCATTGCTCAATAAATGAGGAAAAAGTCTGAAATCGGTTAAATGCGACCTACAATTACCTCTGCTTACAGTAAAGCAGTAACAGTAAATTTGCTTGTACAATAAGGCAGCAAACCCCCATTTCTTACTAAATACCCCCTATGGAACTGAAAAACAACACAAGGTTTCCTGTGTTCCGGCAGACACCCACAGGCCATTCAGTCCTGTTTGCAGATGATTTTCTATTTCATATAAGTGTTGATAGCATGTAAAGAAAAACTGGAAATTTAAATTAAATCTCTGTATTTTCCATAAATTGGTCTATAAAGCATGTTCAAAGGCACACTGCCAAGTTTAAGAAGACCACTGAAGGGTTTTTTTTTTTTTTGTCCTCCTGACATCAAATATGTGGTATTGTTTCCACACTAATTCTCCAATTCTCTGACACCAACTGAGTGTCTTATAATTCAATTCAATTCTTACACTAACTACCTGGAGTTACCATCAGACTCCATAGGTTTAAGGGTTCAGTCCCATAAGATTGTCCTCACTTAGATGCCAGTAAAAAGTATCAGGTCCTTTGGCGGGGGGTGGGCAGGGGTGGGGGGCGCGTGGGTGGCTCAGTTGGTTAAGGGTCTGATTTAGGCTCAGGTCACAACTTGGAGTCCTAGGATTGAGCTCTATGTGGGCTTCCCACTCAGCGAGGAATCTGTTTCTCCCTCTTCTTCTGTCCCTCCGCTGGCTTGTGCATGCTCCCTCTCTCTAATAATAATAATAATAATAATAATAATAAAAATAATAAAAAGTATCAGGTCCGAGGTTACTCACGCTTCTGCCCCGTGTGGCTATAAATTCAGGTTCTCACCACATGTGACCTCGGAGTTGATAATTTGTTAGAACTACTCACAGAACTCAGGAAAAAGCTACACTTACTATGACATTTTATAAAAAAGACAGAAATGAACAGCTAGATGAAGGGTACAAAGGGCAAGGTCCAGAAGGATCCGGACTGCAGGAGCTTCTGTCCCGGGAGGCTGGAGGGCACCACCCTTCCAGACACATGGATGTGTTTGCCAACTTGGAAGCTGCCTAAAACTATGGTTTCAGGATTTTTATGGAGATTTCAATACGTGGGTTCATTGATGACTGAATTCAATTACGTGGGTTCATTGGTGACTGAATTCAATCTCCAGCCTCTCTTTTTTCACTTGGAGCGGGGTATGGGGCTGAAAGTTCCAAACTTCTAAACAAGGCTTTGTCTCTCTGGTGACCGATACCCATCCTGAAGCTATCTAGGGAACCACTAAGAATCACCTCATTAGCACAAACTCAGGTGTGGTCGAAAAGGGTTTAGAATGAAGAACAAAAGAAGCTCCTCTTCAGGAAATTGCGCGGTTTTTAGGAGCTCTGTGCCAGGAACCAAGAACAAAGATTATATGGATATATTTCTTTCTATACCACAACCATTATAGAAAGAAAAGAAACTAAAGACATAACAGAAAACACATGGTTTGGTTGGCTAGTAAGCGAGGTTAAGAACCATCAGTCCAGTGTCCACTAGCTCTTCTAGGGTCCTTGATGGCGAGACCTCGTCCATCTTTTTCATTGTTTTGTCTCCAACACCTAGGAAGACACTTGGAGCTCAATAAATTGCATGTGGTTTTTGTTGTTGTTGTTGTTTGTTCATTTATTTTTCATTTAGGGAGTGCAAACAGGATCGTAAACACCTGAGAAATGATCACTGTTTCCCGGTTTCTTTTTCAAGTCATCGGTCTGACACTTGAAATATGCAAATGTATGGTTCAAACCTATGGGCCTCAGTTTCCTTCTGTGTCATGTGAAGCTGTTAGATCAAACAGCTTCCCACGTCCCTTAAGGATTTTTGTTTCTAAGACATTGGAAACATCTTAGATACCTATGACAACATAACACCAGTGGTTTTCAGCCTTTTTTCTAACCGAACACCTGGGTGATAGACACACACACTCATCAGAAACTTTGCCTCAGCTTAGGGGAAGGGAGGACACGCTTGTGGAACATTCTCCTAGTGATTTTGTTACTCACATTTCTCCCCCACTGAAAATCACTAGTATAATCTATGTAGCCACATCAATCAGCTGCCTGTGTCACTAAACACTTGGAACAAAGAGCCGTCAAGAGACTGTTACTTACCTGTTATGTTTTTTGTTGAACAGCAAGAATTAATGCAGTCTTCCTGAGTTAATGTATGTATGGGTTCATTGCCTCTAATTCCCTTAGAAAGAGATGACTGGATGTCAATGACAACATCTTCTAGACTCTTGGTAGGGCAGTTCTGACTGGTGGACAGCCTTAGTGTCAGGAAACAAATTATTACACAAGTGTAAGTCAAGCTCCATTTGTCCCTAAAGAACATTTTAAATTTCAGTTTAGTCTTAGTCTTCAAAAGTCAAGGACAATTCTTCCTCTGGTCTGAGTTTGCTTCAAGAAGATTGTACAGATCATGGAATTTCTCTCTAGAACAAAAATAGAACATCAGCAATGAGTTTTGTTTCTTTTAATAAGTCTAGCGAAGATACAGTTCATTTCCTGCTAGTCAATGTAAACAATTCTGGATGTATAAAACAGAAATAAACAAGCATTTTTTTTATTTTTCATTTTTAATAGATCAAGATAATCTTTCATTAAAAACCTGGAAGACAAACCATGAGAGACTGTGGACTCTGAGAAACAAACTGAGGGTTTTGGAGGGGAGGGGGGTGGGGCGTTAGGTGAGCCTGGTGGTGGGTATTAAAGAGGGCATGTACTGCATGGAATAATGGTTGTGGTGCATAAACAATGAATCTTGGAACACCAAAAACAAATTAAATTAAATTAAATTTTTAAGAAAACTTGGTAAAGAGGGGCACTTGGGTGGCTCAGTTGGTTGATCGTCTAACTCTTGATTTCAGCTCAGGTCATGATCTCAAGGTCATGGGATCAAGCCCTGAGTCAGGCTCAACACTCAGCAGGGAGTCTGCTTGAGATGTTCTCTCCCTAACCCTCTGCCCCTGCCCCCTGTGCACTCTCTCTCTCTAAAATAAATAAATAAATCTTAGGGGAAAAAAACTTGGTAAAGAATTAATTAGCACAAACACATATATTATCCCATCAATGCTTAAAAGCTGAGCAGTGTCTATGATGGAAGAGGTATAAACAGAAGGCCTGCCCCCAAGTTCTAGAATCCTTTCTCTTCTTCCTTCTTCTAACCAGGAGGGGAGAGGACACAAAATTTCTAGTCACAGATAAAGCAGTGATCATACACTTGAGCACGGTTTCTTTCTTGCTAATAACAACTGGCATTTTAAAAAAATTTTTTTAAATTTATTTTCAGTGTAACAGTATTCATTGTTTTTGCACTGCACCCAGTGCTCCATGCAATCCGTGCCCTCTCTAATACCCACCACCTGGTTCCCCCAACCTCCCACCCCCGCCCCTTCAAAAGCCTCAGATAACAACTGGCATTTTTATATCACCTATTGGGTGGTAGGCAAAGTGCTGTGAAATGTAAATATATTGTCCTATTTAATCCTTATTCTAGCTCTGCAAAAGAAGCTATTATCTTCCTCATTTATAAATGAGGAAACTGGGGCTGCCTTTCTTGTTGCTGCCTCTCCTTAGATATCAAATCAGAGACAGGTAACTCTAATAATTTAATTCGAATAGTTAGCTGGTCAGTAGAGGGAACTCATTCATTTCCAGAATACAAATTGCTCACTGAATGGTAGTCTATAGCAGAATTACTGCTCCTTTGGCATGTCTGGGTGTCTCAGTTGGTTAAGGAACCAATTCTTTTTTCCACTCAGGTCTTGATCTCAAAGTTGTGAGACTGAGCCTCATGTCAGGCTCCATGGAGCCTGCTTGGGATTCTCTCTCTCCTTCTCCCTCTTCCCCCCTCTCCTGCTCATACACACACATACATTCTCTCTCTTAAAAAAAAAAAAAATCCTACTTCTTGAATCTTCTTCTTCTTCCCTTACCCCCCTCCTTCTTCTCTTGCTTCTTTTTTGGTCATGAACCCAAACCCTTCAATAGTCTGCTGAAGCTCAGAAGCTTAGGATCTTTTCTGAAAAACATGTTTTGAAAGGCAAATTGGAAATACATATGATTACAAAGGAAGCCAGTTATATTAAATATAGTTACTAAAGTAGTTTTTAAGATGTGCCTACAAAACCCTGATGTAGAATAGCAAAAAAATTCCAAATAATCGGAGAAATGTTCCATGTTCATCAACATTAAGATATCCATTCTTCCCAACATGATCTATAGATTCAGTGCAATCCCAATAAAATTCCCAGCAAGTTATTCTGTGGATCTCAACCATTTTAAAGTTTTGATTAAAAAAAAAAGATTTATTTAGTTATTTGAGAGAGAGAGCACATGTTGGGGGAGTGGGTAGAGGGAGAAGGAGAGAGATAATTGCAAGCAGGCTCCCTGCTGAGCACAGAGCTGGACACAGGGCTCAGTCTCATGACCCTGAGATCATGACCTGAGCTGAAATCAAGAGTCAGACACTTAACCAACTGAGCCACCCAGGAGTGACTTAAAGCTTTGATTTTAAAGTTTACATGAGAATCCAGAAAAGCCCAGAATGGCCGACACAATACTGAAGAACAAAGTTGGAGAACTCATACTACCTAACTTCAATACTTAGTATAAAGTTATAGTAATCAAGACAGTGTGGTTCTGCCAAAAGAATAAAAAAACAGAACAGAATAATAAGCCCAGAAATAGACCCACACAAATTCAATCAACTGATCTCTAACAGAAGAGCAAAGGCAATTCAATGGAGAAAGGAGAGCCTTCTCAAAAATGGTGCTAGAATAATCCATATGCAAAAAAAAAAAAAAAAGACACAAACCTTCCATCATTTATAAAAATCAACTCAAAATGGATCATAGACCTAAATATAAAATGCAAAACTATGAAACTCCTAGAGGGGCACCTGGCTGACTCGGTAGAGTATGTGCCTCTTGATCCTGGGGTTATAAGTTTGAGTCTCGTGTTGAGTGTAGAGATTACTTAAAAATAAGATCTAAAAAAACCCCAAAAACCTCCTAGAATATAACATAGGAGAAAATCTTAGTGAACTTAGATTAAGCAATGAGTTTTTAGATACAATACCTAAAGCACAATCCATTAAAGAAAAAAATTGATAGGTTGGATTTCATTAAAATGAAAACATCTGCTCTGCCCAAGACACTAGGATAATAAAAAAGACTCAGACTGGGAGAAATAATTGCAAAACACCTATCTGGTAAAGGACTAGTAGCTAGAATGTACAAGGAACTCTTAAAACTCAGAAAACAACCTGATTAAAAGTGGGCAAAGTATCAAAAACAGACCAAAGGAGATAGATGACAAATAGGCATAAGAAAAGATGCTCAACATCATAGGCATTAGGAAGCTGCAAATTAAAAACAAGAATGAGACACCACTATACAACTATTAGAATGACAAAAATCCAGAAAACCGACAATACCAAATCCTACAAAAATCTACATACAAATGTTTATAGTTAACTTTATACATCTTTGCCCCAAACTGGAAACAACTGAGATGTTCCTTCAATAGGTGAAGGGATAAACAAAATGTGGTATATCCATACAGTAGAATATTATTCAGTAGTAAAAAGAAATGAGCTACCAAGCCATAAAAGGACAGAGAGGAAACATGATTGCGTATCACTAAGTGAAAAAAGTCAGACTGAAATGTATGACTCCTTGTCAACTATATGAAATTCTGGAAAAGGGAGAACTATATCAACAGTAAAAATGTTAGTGGTTGCCAAGCAGAGGCAGGGACGGATGAGGTAGAGCACGGGGGATTTTTAGAATAGTGAGGCTATTCTATATGATACTGTAATGGTTGTTACAGGTCTTTACATTTGTCAAAACCCATATAACCATGCAACACAAAGAGTGATCCCCAATATTGGGGGCAGCTCACTGGCTCAGTTGGGGGAGCATGCAACTCTTGCTCTGGGGGTTGTAATTTTGAGCTCGACATTGGGTGTAGAGATAACTTAAAAATAAAAGAATTAGAGTGATCTCTAATATAAACAAACAGACATTAGTTTAAAAAATAGTTAAAAAGCAAAACAAACATACATATATTATCCATATACAGTAACAGTACAAGTCCAATACCTCCCTTGCTATCGTGTCCAGCTTTTATAAACAGTCAAATAATAAGTTACATTTATGTTTCTCACCTGTCAATCTCTATGCTAAGCACTTTACATGTGTCATGTCACTTAATCCTTACAAAAATCCTGATGAGATAGAGTCCCAATCCTTATGAGATAAAAATTTCATTTATATGAAAAATTCATAACATTTATATGAAAAATGAAAAATGCATAACATTTTCAGGGGTGCCTGGATGCCTCAGTTGCTTCAGAGGCTCCCATCAGCTCAGGTCATGATCCCAGGATCCTAGGATTGAGCCCCACATTGGGGAGCCTGTCTCTCCCACTCCCTTCTCCCCACCAAGATGCTCTCTCTCAAATAAATAAAATCTTTAAAGAAAAAATTAGTTGCACAGCAAAGCAAACAGTTAACAAAACTAAAAGACAATTGACAGAATGGGGGAAGATATTTGCAAACAACATATCAGATAAAGGGCTAGTATCCAAAATCTATAAAGAACTTATCAAACTCAACACCCAAAGAACAAATAATCCAATCAAGAAATGGGCAGAAAGGGGCGCCTGGGTGGCTCAGTGGGTTAAGCCGCTGCCTTCGGCTCAGGTCATGATCCCAGGTCCTGGGTTCAAGCCCCACATCGGGCTTTCTGCTCAGCAGGGAGCCTGCTTCCTCCTCTCTCTCTGCCTGCCTCTCTGCCTACTTGTGATTTCTCTCTGTCAAATAAATAAATAAAATCTTTAAAAAAAATAAAAAGAAGAAATGGGCAGAAGATGTGAGCAGACATTTCTGCAAAGAAGACAACCAGATGGCCAACAGACACATGAAAAAGTGCTCCACATCACTCAGCATCCGGGAAATACAAATCAAAACCACAATGAGATATCACCTCACACCAGTCAGAATGGCTAAAATTAACAAGTCAGGGAATGACAGATGCTGGCAAGGATGCGGAGAAAGGGGAACCCTCCTACACTGTTGGTGGGAATGCAAGCTGGTGCAACCACTCTGGAAAACAGCATGGAGGTTCCACAAAAAGTTGAAAATAGAGCTACCCTACGACCCAGCAATCGCACTACTGTGTATTTATCCTAAAGATACAAATGTAGTGATCCGAAGGGGCCCATGCACCCGAATGGTTATAGCAGCAATGTCCACAATAGCCAAACTATGGAAAGAACCTAGATGCCCATCAACAGATGAATGGATAAAGAAGATGTGGTGTATATATATACACACACACACACACAATGGAATACTATGCAGCCATCAAAAGAAATGAAATCTTGCCATTTGTGACGACATGGATGGAACTAGAGGGTATTATGCTTAGTGAAATAAGTCAATCAGAGAAGGACAATTATATGATCTCCCTGATATGAGGAAGTTGAGAGTCAAAGTGGGGGGCTTGGGGAGTAGGGAAAGAAAAAATGAAACAAGATGGGATCAGGAGGGAGACAAACCATAAGACTCTTAATCTCACAAAACAAACTGAGGGTTGCTCGGGGGAGGGGGGTAGGGAGAGGGTGGTTGGGTTATGGACATTGGGGAAGGTATGTGCTATTGTGAGTGCTGTGAAGTGTAAACCTGGTGATTCACAGACCTGTACCCCTGGGGCTAATAATACATTATATGTTAATAAAAAATAAAAATTTTTTTTAAAAATTTAAGAATTAGTCCCATTTTCAGTCAAAATATAAACAATTGTGGGATATTTGTGTTTCTTTATTAACCTATTGAATAACAAGTGGTATATCTAATAACTGCCATAATATTGAAGATTTTATTTATGTATTTATTTTATATATAGAGAGAGAGAGACAGAGAGAGAGAGTTGGGGGAAGAGCAGAGAGAAAGGGACAAGCAGACTCCACGCTGAGTTTGGAGCCCCAGTGGGCTTGATCTTAGAACCTTGAGATCATGACCTGAGCTGAAATCGAGAGTCAGAGGCCGGACAGACTGAACCAGCCAGGCGCCCCTAATAACTGCCCTAATTTTAAAGGATTGTTGAATGTCCATGATACTGGAGATCTGGATAATAAGTAATATTATATGAAAACACCTGGGATTCCTGCTGGTGGCAAATTACAGCTGCCTCTAACTCTACCATGGCTTTTGACTACTTGCCTCTTAGAGGACATGTTACATTTCAGTTAGAGGCTACTAAAATCCTAAATGTTCCCACTGAAGTTCTCAGACTTTTTGAATATTACCCATGGCTTCTCCAGGTTAAAAATCCTGACACAAGTTATCTTCTTAGGCTGTCATATTTCCCAGATCTCTTTTCTAGCCCTCGAGAAAACCAAACAGAAACGAAAGAGGAAAACCAGGCCAATACTTCACTTTGAATGGATCCTGACGGAATCTCTCCTGGAGTTCTTGCCCAGAAGCCGGAACTACGCGAGGGAATCCGGTAGGAGCTGCGCTTTCTGTAGGCGGCACCTTTTTAACGCCTGGACTGCAAGAAGTCCTGAAGAGTTTATCTCGATAAAGGTGCTCAACAACTATTAGGTAACGTAATTCTTCTAATCATTTTTCCTTAGGCCTTAAAGGTCCACAGCCAAGTTGAATTCTATTGAAAGATAGGGGAAAATGGATACAGGTGGGAGCGAGAGGAGGCACCTGTATTTAACGCCTGCTTACTATCGTCACTAAAACGCACTTGTACACATCTGTGCCAAATACTGGGAATCATTTCCTTCCCCTCCCTTTGAGGAAATGCATGTCCCCTTACTGAGCATTCTTCTGCCTCTCTTGATGACGCGGAGCTAGTGCCATTTATGACAAGTGCTGCTGCTCGAGACTGGAGAGTCCCCTCTGCGGGTCCACAGCCCCACGGTCACTCCCGCCAGCCCTTCCTCGCCCCAGCCCGAGTCTTGGCGCTCCCGGAGAGCTAGAGCGGAGCGCCTGGAAAGGAGGGGGCTCGCTCTCAGCGGTGGCGGTCCGCCTGGAGGGGAAGGCGGCGACGCCGTTACCTGGCAGCTACAGGCCCCTGGGGTCCCTGTGTCCTACCCGGGTGAGGACAGCCCCCCGCGCTGCGGGCAGAGAGCGGCAGGTCCGCGCGGGTCTCGGCGAGGGCGGCAGGAATGCTCCGCAGCTCCTGCCCGGCCGCGGCTTGTGTGCTTAGCTTGTGTGCTTAGCCAGTTCCTGCTTCCGTTGCTGCGGCCGAAAGTTGGCCGGGGGAGGGGGGGGGGGAGGGTACAGTCCTGCCCTGCAACCCGGAGCTGCTTCCCGGCCACTCGGAGCGCGGTCCCCCGGGAGCCCCTCCTTGCGGAGGCTCCAGGCACCCGGCGATCGCGCTGAGCTCGGGACCGAGGCGGCAGCTGCCCCTCACCCCCTGCCCCGCAGCTGCGTCTTGCGGAGACGGGGGTGGGGAGCGTGGGCGCGACCCGCGGTGGTGTCCGCAGGTCTGCAGCTGCCCCAGCTCGTTCCGGAGGCCACCGAACGCGCGATCTCACCAGAGGAAAGTCAAACAGGACAAAACGTGTGCACTGCAGGCTGCCTGTCCCCGCTGTGTCCTGGTCTAGTTCCCCTTCCCAGAGCCACATCTGAGCGCAGTTTCTCCACGTCGGAGTTCGCAGGGCTTTCTGTCTGGGGCCTGATTATGGGAATAGTTTTGATCATTTCAGGCATGGAGGGTCCTCAATTAGAGTTGGCAGTTCTCCAGTTAAATATCCTGCAAGTCAAGCCTCAGCGAAGGCATCCGGATTCCTCCCGGATTTACTGTTTATAGGTATAGATAACAGTGAAAATAATGGTGCCTGCTATAGTATCCCCTGGCATATAGCATAGTACCTGGTATGTAATAGGTGCTCAATAAATACTTAACTAAAATGTATTTGTTGAGTGAACGAATGGAAGGGAACTGCTAGGGTATAGGTTGTAGAAGTTATGTTTCTAAATCCATGCTCACTCACCGCGACCTCGGTGTAAGTGCAAACAGATGCAACTTTACCAAACACTGTTAATTAACTTGCTGAAGATTCAAACCTTAGACATCTCTACCTGGCCGGTGTGAAGAGTTTGCAAACCTAAAGCACTACGCCATTGTAACTTACTATTCTAGACCTGACACAGCCATTCTGGTTTTAACCAATAACTGTTAGGAGGCATATGTTGAATAAGAATACTTGTGAACATGTGAACAAAGGTCCTTTGTATGAAACAGAACTCTACCAGTTATATCCAGAGGGTGACCTGCTCTTGAATTACAACAATGTTGCAAATACTTGGTTTTAAACCCTTACCCTGGGCTCCTGGGTGGCTCAGCTGGTTAGGCTTCTGAGCCTTCTGCTCAGGTCATGATCTCAGGGGCCTGGGATCCACCCCTCATCTGACTCCCTGCTCAGCCGGGAGCCTTCTTCTTCCTCTCCCTCTGCTGCTCCCCCTGCTTGTGCTCTCTAGCTCTTTGTCAAATAAATAAAATCTTTAAAAAAAAAAAGTTACCAAAGTAAACTTCAGTGATTTCCCATTGGAGTTATTTTCCTATTGCAGCAAAAAACTGATGTAAACAATACATTTTATCTTTGCAGAGGATATACTTGAGGGTGTGGTAGGGAAAGGTCATATTGCTTTGTAGCCCTTCATAGGACAGTCCCTCCTAGTCACTAAGCAGACATTTTGTTCTCTTAGAAGTTTCAGATTTAGGGTTTTAAGTAATGAACCTGTTACCCTTGTAGTGACATATTGGTTTTTCAGTTATGACCATGAACAGAGGACACTGATGGAAATAATGATTAAAGAAAAATTTTCTACTGGTATGAACTAGGTGTTTAAGCTAGAATTAAATCTCTTTTCATCTCATGGCCTGAAAAGATTCTTGGTTCTCTTCTCTTGATACCTTAGAAGTCCCATTTAGGTGGAGGCAGATTTTTTTAAAACACTTTATTCAGAAAACATGTATTAAACACGTGCAGGGGAAATTAAAGATCCGTAAGACATTGGAGCTACCTCCAAGATGCTTATAGTGGGAAGATTTTATTTATTGTGTAAAGAATAAATATAATGATAGAAGATGCTAAGGAGGCTCAAAAGAGGGGTGTATAATCTGGACTTCTGGGAGGAAATGAAAAATTTAACCTTTTTTTTTTAAAGACTTTATTTTTAGAGCAGTTTTAGATTCACAGTAAAATTGAGAGGAAGGTTCCCATATACTTCTTGCCGCCATACATGCACAGCCTCCACCAGAGAGGTACATTTCTTGCAACTGATGACCCTCCACTGACACATCAGAACTACATAAAGTCCACAGTTTACCTTATGTTTGCTTTTAGTGTATTACACTCTATGGATTTGGACAAATGTGTAATGATGTATGTCCACTGCTATAGGATCATACAAAGTATTTTTTTTTTTATTCATTAGAGAGAAACAGAGGGAAATAGAGAGAGCGAGCCTCAGCAGCAGGGAGAGGCAGAGCTGAGCTGGGATGCAGGGTTTAGTGCGGCTTGGGCTGGATCCCAGGACCTGGAGATCATGACCTGAGCTGAAGGCAGACACTTAACCATCTGAGCCACCCACGTTCCACCTCCCCCTCCCCCCGCAAAGTATTTTCATTGCCCTAACTGCCCTCTGTGCTCAGCCTATTCATCCCTCCCCCACCACAACCCCTGGCAATCACTGTTATATTTATTGCCATAGTTTTACCTTTTCCAGATGTCATGTGGTTGGAATCATACAGTATGTAGCCTTTTCAGATTGGCTTCTTTCACTTAGTAAGATGCATTTAGGTTTCCTCCATGTCTTCTCATGGCTTATTAGTTTTTGTTTTTTTTTTTTTTTTTTTAGCACTGAATAATATTCCATTGTCTGGATGTACTAGTTTGTTTATCCATTCACATACTGAAAGACATCTTGGTTGCTTCCAAGTTTTGGCAATGGTGAATAAAGCTGCTATAAACAACCAGTGTAGGTTTTGTGTGGACTTGAGTTTGGAGCCACAAGTTAACCTTGAAGGCTGAAGTTCAGCTAGCTAGAGCGAGAGAAAAAGGCTGAATATTCCAGACAGAGAAAATGGTGTGAATATTCAGGGAATTTTATCCTGACTGGCATGAAGTTTCCCTGTGTACATAGAGGAATAGAGAGAAAGTCGGGGGTCAGAGCAAGAAGGTTCTCATATGCCAAATTTTGAACTTTATCTTGAAGCAATGGGAAGTTATTGAAGGTTTTTATAGGGCAGTGGCAGGTCCAGAGACTTTATTAATATTCTAAAAATTGTGTCTGCCAGTCACATGTAGGATGGACTGAAGGAGGTGAAGCCAGAGGCCTTCTGCTTTCCAAGAAATGGGAGAAGTAAGGAGGCCCTGAACAGGGTGTGGAGGTTAGAAAAGAAATTAAGGAGAGAGGTTCTTCAGACTTGTGACTGGTTGGTTGTGGTAGTAGGGGTAAGCAGATTTAAGGTGTAGGAGACTAGGTGGCTGGAGGGCAGGCAATATAGCAAAATGGGGAGAGGAGCTAGTCTGGAATGGAGAGATGCATAATAAGTTTCAGAAAATTTGATTCCTGCTTTCATGACTTATTAGCTTGTGATCAAGAATAAATTCCTAAACCTCCATGTAAAATCAAGAAAGTGTCATCTACTTTATAGGCCTGTCATACAGGGCCAATATTATTGATGAAATTTGGAAGTTTTGGGGTTCGTGAGCGAACAGCCAATAAAGAATTCTTGAGAACTTTTTGGTGCAAAAAGGTAATTTTATTATAGCACAGGGACAGGGCCCATAGGTGGAAAGAGCTGCACTGGGATTGTAAGGAGTGACTGACTATATATATCTTTTTTTTTTTTTTTTTTTTTAAGTTAATTGGGGGTTAGGGATAGCATAAGTCTCTAAGGAATTTGGGAGCAAAGCCTTCAAGACCTGAGGGTGCTAGCTGCTGTTAAGATAAGGTTACTTTTAGTCTTTAATAAAACATAAATATTAAGGCAGCCGTGGTTTCCTCTGCATGTTTTAGGTATCTATCAGTGGGCTGTAAGGATATTTAAGTTAAGCTACATTTCTCTTGCTTTTGTTTCCCTCATCATTATGAAAGTGCTTTATAAACCCAAAAAGACGGTTCAATAGTATATATAAGTCACATGTTCATGTGGAAATGACTTTAAAGGTGCTATAAGGAATCATTTCCATGTCTTCTACCTCTAAAGCCCCTGCAGCAGAATCCTTAATTATAAATGCCCAGTTAATCTTCTCACTACCAGACTGTTAGCTTTCTGAGGATAGGGACTAGGTCTTGTTGGATCATTCATTCCTAGCCTCTAGCAAATATCTGGCACGTTCTAGACTACCAGTAAATGTTGACTCAAGGAATGACATCATTTTGTATTTCTATATCCTTCTCTGATAACAGCTTTACTGAGATATAGTTCACATACCATACAATTCACCTAATTAAATTGTACAATTCAGGGGCACCTGGATGGCTCAGTTGGTTAAGCATCTGCCTTCAGCCATTAGCTCAAGTCATGATCTCAGGGTCCTGGAATGGGGAGCCCCATTCCTACTCAGCAGGGAGTCTGCTTCTCCCTCTCCTTCTGCCCCTCCCCTCTGCTTGTGCTCACACTCTCTCTCTCTGATAAATAAAATCTTAAAAAAATAAATTGTACAATTCAGTCATTTTTAATATATTTGCAATGGTTGTACAATCATTACCACAATAAATTTTGAACATTTTTACCACTACCAGAAAGAAACCCCTATACCCACAACAGTTACTCCCTCTTTCTCCCTCCACACCCCTCCTCCTCAGCTTTAGGCAACCACTAATCTATTTTTGTGTCCTATAGTGCCTCTTCTGGATATTTCATATAAATGGAATCTATAATAGATCATCTTTTGTAATGGGCTCTTTTCCAATAGAATAATGTTTTTAAGGTTTATCCCTGTTGTAGCATGTTTGAGTACATCCTTCCTTGGTGGCAAATAATGTTCTATTATATGAATATACCACATTTTATTTATTTTCTCAGTGGGAAAAAAATGGTGATATAGGAGATCTCAGCCTCCATCCCCATAAAAAGATCAACAATTAGACAGTTATCCACAAACAAAAATAGCTCTGGGAGAGTTCTGGAGCCCACTTAAGAAACATCAGCAATACAGAACAACAACAACAACAACAACAAAACCCTTGAGAAAAATCACACATGAGGAGGAGGAAGATAGCTTCATTTTGACTGTGTCATCCCATCCTCCAAACCAATACTGCTCAGCATCAAGAGGAAACCTCCCAGCTAGAAGGAACTCTCCTTGCCAGGATAGGGAGAGCAGAGTGGGTGACCAGCTTCCCCACACGTTCAGGAGAGTACACAAAGGTTCTGCCTCAGTCTCACCCCACTGGCAAAGCTGAGACATATAGACATATAGACACTGCTAGGAACAGGGTCTTCCTTAGTGCCATGCAATGGGAGCAATCATGGTTCACAGTGACCCACTCTGCAGCCAAACCAAGCAGCTTTTACCCTAAAGACACCAACAGCAAGCACAATTGCCATGAACCCCTTGCAGATCTTACCAGCTTTTGTCTCATAGGCATTCATATTCACAGACATCAGCCACCTGAGTCCCTCCCTGCTCCCTCCTACCCTCAGCCCAGGCCAGAAACCACAGTGGCAGCCAGCCTAGGCTTCTGCAGCTGTGCAAGTGCAAGACACCAGCCTAGAACTCCATGGCTGATCTCCACTGTGTGTGTGCACTCAGGGCTAGTCCCTCCGTACACTTACACACCACCTGCCTAATACCTGTAACCAGCCTCCACTGCAGTGTCCATGCCGGAAGGGAGACTGCAACCACAGGAGAGCACAGTGATGGCTAGGGCCTTTGCAGCTGCTTGTGGGCCTGCATCACTGTGCTTACCTGCAGCTGGACCCTCTAGCTGTGCACCTGCTTAGCCATAGCCCTACCCTTGGTCATTGGTCTCCTCTGCCATGTACCTGACAAGATCTAGCAGCCATGCTATAGTGCATGCTGACTGCCAAAGTCCCTACAGCTGCCAGTGAGCATGGAGTTGACACTGGCCTTGCTGCCTGCTCTGGCTTCCACCACTCCATGTATGTCTGCCGCTGGCCCCCCACAGCCAAGTGCATATCACCACACACTGTCACAGGCCCCTTCAGCTACTAGTCCAAGGTTCCTAGCTGCTGGACTGAAAGGTGCTGCTTGAGGACCCCAACAGCCCTTGTAGACACTGCAGACCCCCTGCAGAGCTCACCACATGGTCTTCAGTGCTGTAGACCCCAGTGGCCTAAGCCAAAGAGACATCATGCTCTCTTCCTTCTTTCCAGAGCTGCCACACACCCCGACACTTGGTGTTGTGTACCACTAGACCCAGGATCATGGGATGCTCTTAGCAAGCCCCCACCCACAGGTGAAAGTCTTCCTCTATCAAAGTTGGTCCATAAAGTTCATAAAGACTGCTTCTTTAGATGTGTAGACACCTATCCAAGGCTGCAGGGATCATGAAGAATCAGAGATACTTGACTCTAGCAAAGGAATACAATAAACTTCCAGTCCCAAGAAATGGGGAGCCAGGAACTGTCCAACAAAGAATTCAAAATAACTGTTACAAAGATGCTGAGAGCAAGAAAATATGAACAGACAATTTAATAGTATCAGAGCAATAATACAAGAACAAAATGAGAATCTCAACTATGATACAGAAAACAAAACAAACAAAAAAACAAATCCTGAAGCTGAAAAATACAACGATTGAATCAAAAATTTTAACACAGAGGGACGCCTGGGTGGCTCAGTTGGTTAAGCAGCTGCCTTCAGCTCAGGTCATGATCCCGGCGTCCTGGGATCGAGTCCCGCATCGGGCTCCTTGTTCTGTGGGGAGCCTGCTTCTCCCTCTGCCTCTACCTGCCTTTCTGTCTGCCTGTGCTCGCTCGCTCTCTCTCTCTCTCTGACAAATAAATAAATAAAATCTTTAAAAAAAAAAAAAAAAATTTTAACACAGAGCCGCAAGAGATTAGTTGACCAAACAGAAGAAGGAGTCAATGAACTAGAAGACAGATCAATTAAAATCACCTAATGAGAGGAGCAAAAAATTAAAAAGAATGAAAAGGAATGAAGAAAGTCCCTATGGTACTTACTGGGCCCCATCAAGAGAAACAATGTACATATCACTGGAGTCACAGAAAGAGAAAAGAGGAAGAAAGGAGAAGAAAGCTTACGTAAAGAAATAATGGCTGAGAACCTCCCAAACCTGGGGAGAAATTCAGATATCCAAGATTTTGAGGCTAATAGGTCAACCCAAAATTTCAATCCAAAACAATCTTTTCCAAGACATGTTATAATTAAAACTGTCTAAAATCAAAGACAAAGATAATTTTTAAAGCAGAAAGAGAAACAAATTTTCTTTCATGTAAGGGAACCCCTATAAGGTGATGAGCAGATTTCTCAGCAAAGACCTCGCAGGCCAGGAGAGAATAGGATGATGTATTTGTTCGTTCTCCAGTTGAGAATGTTTACAATGTTCAGTTTAGAATAAAATGTTCATCCAACAGAAAGCATATAAAAACACCATCACATCAGTATGAATTAGGGCATGGAATACAAGATAAATTCACTTTGAGGTGGAAAAGGTGGAACAAGAAACAGAACATGTATTGTACTCCCCTTTTCCCTCCTCTCTTGCCCACCCCCAAAGATGGCAGCCCTGGGAGAGGAGCCAGGGGCTCTCCAAGAAGGAATGGTCCCATCAGGCTGGTGGTTTATGTAAGCCTCAAGACTATAGTCAAACACCACCTCTTAGGAGCCTACATGATCTCTCAGGCAGTATTTGGTTCTTTCTTCGTATTCCCACCAAATACAGAATTTACATTCATTTGTAATTTTCTCATGGCTTTGCAATGGTGAGTAAAGGAAAGGGCATGAGTTTGAAATCAGACAATCCTAAATCCCATTTCCACCATTGACTACCTGGTGACCATGAGGAAGTTACCTGTTTTTGGGCCTCAGGGTTGCTTTGAAGAGTAAATAAGGTAACAAAATGTCTATGATATTACAAAGTAGAAGGGACTTAACCATACAGTTCACTTGGCATTCCTTCTGAGATTATATTTATAAAGAGGACATTTATGTTAGGCCATTTGCTTGAAATTTCATGAGGGAAATAATATAAAATGAGTTACAAAGTTCTGAGAATCCCAGAGACACCCAATTCCTTGGTGGCACTGCATTGCTAGGACTCCACCCTTGATCTGCCCAAACTGGAAGTTTCCATTTTATTTTGCGTATACTCTATCCTCACCTTTGCTGGTTTCGGAATGGCTTGTGGATAATTGTAAAGGTCCCCAGAAAGTTCTCTGGGGAATCCACTTTCCTCTGAGGGCGCACACACACCCTAACATGTGAATCGGCATTTTCTATTTCTTCATTTTCTCTCCCTTCCAGCCCCGTCTATACTTTTTGTATGAGGCCCACTGCCATACTCCTAGGTTCTGGAGCTGAAACAGAAGCTTTGCATGCAGACAGTTGGGGATTCTAGACCTATCTAGCACCTCTTTCTCCTTCTGTAAACAGGGTTTAAAATTCTGCAATATGGGAACCTGGGTGGCTCAGTAGGGTTAAGCCTCTGCCTTAGGCTCAGGTCTCGATCTCAGGGTCCTGGGATGGAGCCCCACATCTGGCTCTCTGCTTAGCAGGGAACCTGCTTCCCCCCGCCCCCGCCCCCGCCCCCCTCTCTGCCTACTTGTGATTTCTCTCTCTGTAAATAAATAAATAAAATCTCTTTAAAAAATAAAAAATAAGATAAAATTCTGCAATATTTACGAATACTGATTCATTAGGTCGTACACCTGAAGCTAATAAAATGTTAAGTCAATTATATCTCCACAAAACAAAACAACCCCGTCCCCGTCACCCCACCCCCCGCCGTTTTATAAAGTTCTAACAATAAAGTGCCAACCTATGGGTGATGCTTAAAGGGGACACATCACTAACTAGCAAAGGACTTACTCTTTTGGGCGATTCTGGCTTTGAGACGGTCTGGCCCTTTAATGCTGCTCGCCCTAGTCACCCTACCCGCCCTCCCTCGGGCCGGGGCGTGGCGGGCTCTCCAACCCGGAACTGATGGCCGCGCGCAGCCGGCGCCGCCAATCCGCGTCCCGGAAGGAGCGAGCTTGCGGCGCACGAGCGAGTGAGTGAAAGCGGCGCCGCCCGCCGGCCGCTGGCGCGGCTGAAGCTGGGCGTTCTCCACCTCCTCTCTTTAGGGTCCCCCGAAGAAAGCCGGCGAGCTTCGTGCAGCCGAGCTGCGCTTCCTTGTGCGTCTGTTCCCCAAGTAGGGCCCCCCCTCCCCCGCCGCCCGCGCACCTGCGTGGGCCGGGGGCGCAGTCTCCACAGGTCGGCCCTGCAGCGGTGGCCACACTCGGTGTAGCATCCCTGTCCCTGTCCCCGGCCCCTGCCCGGTAGTCCCGCCGCCGGAGCGGTGACCGCCTGGCCCGCCGTTCCTCCGCTGCCACCGCTGCCGGCACCATGGGCAGTGAGCAGAGCTCCGAGGTCGAGAGCCGACCCAACGATCTGAACTCCTCAGGTCGGTGTCCTAACTTCACCCTCCTCCAGCCGGCCCCGTCTGCTTGCGGAGGGGTATGCCTCCCAGCCTAATGGGGACTGGGGCCGCGGACAGGAACGCACAGAGAGCCCTCACCATGTCTTTTTCTTGAAAAAAGAGAAAAAAGTCACCGTCTGTCCTAGCCGTCATTTCCCCTGATGGGAGTGAATGCCTGTGGCTGCAAGCTAACCAGGGTGTGCGCCGATGCCTGTTACTTATTATCAAAGCAGCTGTTTCTCCCAGCTCCGCCTCCTCTTTACAGGACGACCTAATTAATTTTTGGCGTTAGTACTTACGACCGACACCATGAGATTTGGCTCGCACCGTGCATGGATCATGAACAGGACCCCCAAGAACATGTTCCTTCTTAAAGCGGGTCTTAGAGGTTCCTTTTCAGAAGGGATGTGTGACAGGTGTACAATCGCTTTGAACCCTTGGGTGCAAACATCTCCAGAAACTGCATTTTCCTTTGAGAAGGTGTCTCAACTCCCTTTCTAATATTAATATTATAGGAGTCAGCCAGCTTTGTTTTTTCCCCCCGTACGAATTTCTAAGATTTCTCCCAGCGTTTCAGATAGGAATGGGAGGATTATTGTGCTAGGAATATGGTAAGCACTCAATGAATAAAACAGCTGATGCTTAATTGAGGATCGTATGCTTGCTTGCTTGCTTTTTTTTTTTTTTTTTGTTAGCCACAACCGTAGGACAGCTGGGACTGCTCTGGATACACTAGGGTTGCTAATCCAAATTGGATTAATCTGGAGCCTAAATATAACCTATTACTTTCAGGTGTACGATCTGATGATTCAGTATTTGTATATATTATGACATTTTAAACCCCTTTTTATAGATGGAGAATGAGAGGTGCTCGATAATCTTAGGATCCACAACTGTCTTTAAATACATAGAACTGTTCTCTGCGTGGTAGGATCTGTAATTCAGAAATCTAGAAACTGACAGATCGAGGGTTATTCCACACTGAAGTGCGTCCTTCAAGACTAGTTCAGACCCTCATTTTGGGCGCTAGATTGGGACAGCTTTTAATGGTGAGCAGCATCTACTAGCTTTGCTACATCCTTCTATTTCCTTGGAAGGCCCAGAATATTTTATCTGGTACAGAAAATACAGTAATAATTGTTAATCCTTTGCCTCTATGTCCAGAAGCATATTTGAGGGGAAGAAGTATGGCATTTTTTTAATATGCTTGCTCACCTACTGATCACCAGCATGAATTCTAGTACTGTAGCCTACTAACCAGTGGCATAGATTAGAATTTGCTGATTCCCCTGTGCTGAGTGGTTTACATGCATCTACGTTTAATCATTACTGTCCCATTTTATAGGCACAGTGATAGAGGTTAGCTAGAACCCAGTGAAGTCTGTTTTCTGTTGGGATTTGGGGAAGAAATCACTCAATTTGTAGCAAAAAAGATTTCTGGCTTGGGATTTGTGACATGTTAGGGAAATTACCAAAAGAGGTTAAGAGGTACTTCTTGAAGAACAGTAAAAGTAGCAGAGATTCTACAAGAGTGAATGCCAAGCCACAGGAGACTCTGGTCTCCAGGTGTTGGGCCAGTTCTGTGACATCCCAGCATCAGCCTTTGAGACAAGACTATGATGAGCTTTCGAATACTACCTTCTAGAGGGTGAACTGCTTTAAAGGTTTATTCTTGCCCTAACCAGGAAGATATTTGAGAAGAGGAGGATATTTTGGTCTAGGAAGTTGTTGGTGGTTTGAATCGGTTCCCTACAAATGCTTTATTTTCTCTCAAAGGACCTGAAATTGACCTGCCTGTCTAGCAGTCCCACAAATTTCTGAATTTGGCCTCAGCATAGAATGAACCTACTATTTACTTCTGCCCTTCTTGGACTAATGCCTATAACTGTAAGGGTGAAGGGGCTGGTGCCTCAGGAATAGACCCATCATGCAGAGTTGAGAACCAGGATTTTTCCCCCCATAGATAGTATCTATTAAATATACCTGGCTTGCTGTGATAAGGCAGCTAGACAGCTTGCAACCTCAGTTTCACAGGCATAGGCCACGTATACCAATAACCCGTAGACTTCCATTTCCTTTCCTCTTTCTCTAGCACTCTTGACTTTGGGCAGGTCACAGCCTAATTTTGTGCCCTCATTTTCTCATTGGTAAAATAGGGACAATGTCAGTAGGATTGAAGAAATAAAAATTATAAAAACACAACATACCTATATTTTTGGGTGCTGAAAAATAAGATATTTTTAATGATAAAAGCAATTTCATACATGTAGGTTCCTGTAATGTTTGAGGGGTTTTTTTTTTTAGTAGAAAATAGAGGTTCCCCTATGATTCATCTGCCCTTTCCAGCCCCCACTGCAGGTTAACTACAGTTAGCATTTTTTGTGTGTGTAAAAATATTCTTTTTAATGACTATACTAAAAAAAGCTTTGGCGAGGCAGAGGGGGATAACTAACATGCAACTCCTGAGCAGTGTAACTTTACTTTTAGTGACCCCTTCTCCAGCAAAGCATAGAGCCAAGATGGACGATATTGTGGTTGTAGCTCCAGGCTCCCAGCCTTCACGGAATGTCAGCAACGATCCCGATGTCATCAAGTTGCAAGAGATTCCAACCTTCCAGCCGCTTTTGAAAGGTGAGAACTTGGGTTTTGTCTTATCTGGACCTGCTGGAAAGATTCAAATAGCCACACTACTCTCCCCAGATGGCCATGTGCCTTCCTCCTCTCCTTTAGGTCTTTACTTAAATGGCATCTTTTTGGTGAAGCCTTCCTTGGCTGCCCTATTTAGATTTGAAACGCTTTTGGCTGTTTTTCTCTAATAATCATCATTGATCTGCTTTGTAGCTTACTTGTTTCTGTAGTGTTTGTGTTTCCCTTTTAGAAAGTGAGCTTTAGGGGCGCCTGGGTGGCTCAGTGGGTTGAGCCGCTGCCTTCGGCTCAGGTCATGATCTCAGAGTCCTGGGATCGAGCCCCGCATCGGGCTCTCTGCTCGGCAGGGAGCCTGCTTCCTCCTCTCTCTCTGCCTGCCTCTCTCCCTACTTGTGATCTCTCTGTCAAATAAATAAATAAAATCTTAAAAAAAAAAAAAAAAAAAAAAAAAAAAGAAAGTGAGCTTTATGATGGTAAGAACTTTCTGTGTTTTGTTCACTGTTGAATCACAGGACTTGGAATAGAGCCTGGTATAAAGTAGGGACTGAGTAAATGAATGAATGAATGATGTTGGAGCTAGCCTTTACCTGTTATTTTTCTGTGAAAAGATTTTTGTCTTATTTGTGGTCTGGACTATGGCTTGACTACTTCAGATCCATGGAGAAAACCTCTATTATCCTTGATACAATTAATCCTGACAACCATTTTGTATGAGAGGAGAGGGTATATAGGAGAGGATTAGCATATATTGATTAGTGTATACTGAGGTAGAGTTACCTTTTTTTATTTGCATTTTAAAAAGATTTGTTTATTGAGTGTGAGTGAGCATGCATGAGCCATGTGGGGCAGGGTTGGGGGTAGTGGGCAGAGGGAGAGAGAGACAAGCAGACTTCCAGAGGAGTGAGGAGCTGGATGCAGGGCTTGATCCTGAGATCATGACCTGAGCCAAAATCAAGAGTCGGATGCTCAACCAGTTTTGCCACCCAGAGTTACCTTTTAATATGAATTTTATTATTCACCTGATAATTTCATTATATATTTTAATTTTATATTAATTTATTTTATGTCATTTTCATATCCATCAAGTAAAGGCAATGATTTTCTATTAACTAAACGGGATTTCTACTGTAAGAATCCATCCCTCTTTCTGTCTCTCTTTTCCTCCAAAAGATTAGGAAATATAAATGAACAGAAGGCCCTGGTTTACTTAACCTGGTAAAATATAAAACTTTTTTTTTTTTAATATTTTATTTATTTATTTGACAGAGAGAAATCACAAGTAGACGGAGAGGCAGAGAGAGAGAGAGAGAGAGAGAGAGAGGGAAGCAGGCTCCCGGCTGAGCAGAGAGCCCGATGCGGGACTCGATTCCAGGACCCTGAGATCATGACCAGAGCCAAAGGCAGCGGCTTAACCCACTGAGACACCCAGGTGCCCCTAAAACTTCTTAAATTTATATAGCTATATGTATTAGAAGATACCCCTTCCATACACACACAAATACATGCCATCCCCTTGTAATCCTTATGTTGTTAAATGTGTTTGAATGATTTGTGTCAGATCAGACAGTTGGCAGATAGGTTGAACTTGAACTGATGAGAAATACTTGCTACACTATTTTGCACTATACCTAAAAAAAACAAAAACAGTGCTTTATAGATGCCATATAGCATCTCATTCTTCTCAGCACCTCATCTGCTTTACAGGTGAGTAAATACAAGCTTTCAATGTTTTCCCACAGGTCTCAGTGTTAGACTTTGGGAAACTCTTTGGTTCTTACCTGAAACAACACATTACATCCTAATAGTTTTCATTATTTTGAGGGATAATGTGATTCTCCAGAGAAGCCAGCATTAATGAAATTTCCATCTCCACGTGTCTTTGTACAATCAGATTAAAAGACAATCAGATTTAATTTACTTGTAGAAACTTAGAGGTGGACACTTGTATTCTGTATCTAGGCCTTCCGGACTTGCACATAGGACTGCCCACAAGCACCCAGACTCATGCCTCTTCTCCCTGTTAACTGTGTCCCCCCAAAGTCTTCTAGTCCTGGGTGAGACCTTTATGTGGCCAATATTTGTCCTCACTTTAGGGGAGTGCTAAAAACAAGCAAAACCCAAAAACCTCCTGGCATTTTGAGATATATTTAATAATTTCCTTGGATAGTGTTTCTTTTCTGAGCATTGGAAATACAATTCTTATTTTATGGTAATGAATTGACTAGTAGAGGAAGCATCTAGAAGGCTTGGTGTTCGGGGAAACTAACCTCAGATTTAAAATCATCACCAGGAACCCTAACCGTGAATAATTATCACGGTATAGTTAATGCGATGCAGTTGGACTTGGTGGCATTGACACCTGGATTTTTTTTTTTTTTTAAGATTTTATCTATTTATTTGACAGACAGAGCTCACAAGCAGGCAGAGAGAGAGGAGGAAGCAGGCTCGCCGCTGAGCAGAGAGCCCGATGTGGGGCTCGATCCCAAGACCCTGGGATCATGACCTGAGCCGAAGGGAAAGGCTTTAACCCACTCAGCCATCCAGGCACCCGACACCTGGATTTAAATTGGGACTTGGCTCCCCATTGGCTCTGTGTCCTGGCTTTGTTTTCCCCCTCTTGAACGTTGGTAGTTGAGAACATTGAGAATAGGTGTGTGAGAGAGAGGAAGGCACCTGAGGGGCAGGTTGCAGTGAAGAGGCCATTTGGGATTTGGCTAATGGAGAAATTTCTTTCTGAGGGTGGCATGAAAGAGAAGTGGCAGCACGTGGCAGGGGCCAGACCACAGGGAACAGAAAAAGCCAGCAAGCATTTAAGTGACTGCTGGTGTTTCACTGGTGAAGAGGAACCCTCTTCGTGATTAGAAAAGACAGGCAGAGGGGACAGTTTGGTGAAAATAATAAGTATAATTATGATAATAGTAGGGGTTGGCCCCTCCCCTCCCTCTTCTACCTCTACGTGATGGTATTATTCTTCCCATTTTATAGGTTAAAACATTGAGGCCCAGAAAGCGTGAATGCATTACTTCAGGTCACCTGGCTAGAAGGGATAGCTCATCTCAGGATGGCATCAGGACATCGAATTTTGCACTGTTTTGTACCTAGAATAAGACTGTTTCTAATTCTAGGGAAGCCAGTTAAAAAGATCACTAGGCTGTAAAAGAAAATAGGATGGTGGGTGTGGGGTTGTTTGGATTTTTAGGTGCAGCATTTGTGACAGAGCCTCCTGCTTTGACATTGTTCTGCCTGGTAATTTAGAGCCCTGCTGTCTGCCTGCTGGGCCGCTGGAGGGGCCACTCATCGCTGTTGCCTTTATACTCTAATCTCTTCTTTTCACCCTTTCCTGCTTTCAGGATGAGGCTATTTCTCAAAGTAGTGAAAAGGCCACACAGTGAGGGCTGTACCCCCAGGTCTGATTTCAGAAAGCTTTTTATTCAAGTTAATGACAATTCTTTCAAAACAATATATTCAAGTATTCCACAGAGTTCACTATTGTTCCATAATGTCATGTGATGTAGTGCTAATGTTGGTGGGTGATTTGCAGAGGCAGTAGCTGGGCGAGTTTAGGGGCTATTCGTATGACTGAGGTAATGTTTGCATTTTTAATGAGCAAGCAGATTCTTTCCTTGGTCTTCACCCTTTTGGATTAATATACTAGCATATAAGTTATGCTCTATAGTGGTGCCAAATATCTGTTCCTCTTTCTATTTAAGCCAAAAGAATTTCTATTTTTCATAGCAGTCTCTGAATTAGCAATTTATTTTGAAGTGTAAAGCATTTACTAGAAAATGAAAAACTATAAAATTACAAAGAACAATAAATAACCACAACAGAACACAAAAGCAAAATGTAGATTTGATGATAATTAGATTCCCAGGGTTAAACAAGCCCTAATTTTAATTACTTAAAATTCAACCACTTACATTTTTTTAATGAGTCGCATGGCTTTGTCAATCTATAGAAGTGAACTATTCACTAGAGAAATGCAAAATTGATATTTTATGTATAAAAGTTATATAATTTTGCCATTCACTTGTAATGATGAATATATGTACACATACACGTGTGCATATATGACCTTCTCTACAACTGACTTACCATTTTTGTAACTGACTTTGGACATAACCTAAGATTGAGCTGCCCAAGGAAGAAACTGTTCTTGTTACCTGCAAAGAAAGTCAGACCTAGGCAGTGTAGATACTGATGCAAAGCAGTTTTGTTGGGAGTTCTGTGTCTGGTTGTTAAGAACATGATGTATGTGAAATAGATTTTGACAGTGAAAAAAAGAGTCTGGGGCTTTTCTTGGTGGAGCAGAATCTCATGGAACACAGTGAAGGATCTCAAATCACATGGAACATTGAGAATTAGTGCATGGGGCTGGAGCTGGGAAGGAATGAATCAATGGAAAAGGGTAGTAAGGAGAACACAAGGAGCTACATTTCAAGTGATCAGTTTATATACATCTTTCTCACCCACTTATCTCTTAGCTGGACAAATAAAATAAAGGTGGAGAGTCTTATTGTTCATGAGACAGACGTCTTTGCCAGCTGTCAGACCTTATCTCTGTTTTGGAAATGGAATGCCAAAGGAGGGGAAGAGAGAATGGATTTTAGAGCTTGGTCTTCTCTGAATGGTGTAAAGGTGACCCCTAAGCTAGGGTTGATCCTGAGAGTCTCTTCCCCTCTTCCCCGAATACCATATTTGAAAAATTGATGCTGTATTCCCGATTACCTTGTAGATTATTTGTATGTAGTAGCCTCTTTTTTTTTTTTTAAAGATTTATTTATTTATTTATTTGACAGAGATCACAAGTAGGCAGAGAGGCAGGCAGAGAGAGAGGGAGGAGGAAGCAGGCTCCCCGCTGAGCAGAGAGCCCGATGCGGGGCTCGATCCCAGGACCCTGGGATCATGACCTGAGCTGAAGGCAGAGGCTTTAACCCACTGAGCCACCCAGGTGCCCCGATTTGTATGTAGTAGCCTCTTCAGTT